CACACACACACACACTTGCATCAGTCGGGCCCTGGGGTGCAGGCTTGTCCTACTGGGTTAATGTCTTTGTCGCCTGTCCCCCTAGACCCAAGAGGCATCTAGACCACCTTTTTCCCTGAGAAGGACTTGGTGAGGGCACTGCCCAGAAGGTCATTGGTGATGAAGGAGGCTTCAGCGTCCAGCATGCTGATGCCCTGGGGCTCGAAGATATCTGCCTCAATCTGAAATAGCCAAAGGAGATGGGGTCAGTGACAGTGCAGGGGCCAGCCACTAGGACAAAGCTGTGAGGACCAAGCCTGGTGTCTCCCACCAGAGAAATGACCACTGGGCCTTGTGGAAGGTACTCTGACCCCAAAGTGTGTTTACCACCTGCCATATGGTGCCCAAAATTCCACTACTAGTGTTTCCTTTGGCTTTCAGCTTTTGTGTAAGTAAACTGCCCATGTACAGTTACAAATATTACAGAGATACTTTGTGATGTTGTAATATTGCCCCAAGGGCCCACCACCAAACCTGGATCTGCCAGATCCAGCCCAGCCTCTCTCCTTGGCTCCCAGCTGCTGTGGCTAGAACTATTGTGATTCCCCCAAGCCACCTCAGCCAAGTGGTGAGGCCCTGACTTTTGCATTCTTGACCCTGCTCTGAGTTCTGCCCCAATAGGCCCTTCTCCACACCTGCCTGCAGTTTCAGCCACCCTGAGTCTTGCAGGGGCTGCAAAAGCAATCGATTACCTCAAAGTGCTTGACCAGTTGCTTGGGCTGGACCTTGAGGTACATCTTGTACTTGCCCTTGTGTCTCTTCAACAGCTCCTCGTAGGTTAGCTCAAAGGTAACTTTACTGCCCGCAGCCACATTGACTGAAACTGTGAATTTCTCCAGCTTCCTGCCCGAGGCCCTGAATCGGGGTGTGAGACAGTGACTGCTCTACAGACTGCACGAGCCCACCCCTCCTGGGCCCTAGGTTCAGGTCCCAGCCCCTTAGTGGAGGTCCCTAACTACTCCGAGCCTCGGTTGCCTCAACTTCAAAATGGAATAATGTAAGAAATACTGGCACATTTGGCTATAATAATAGTAATAATAGCTGTTGTTGCTTACGTCTTTGAGGACCCATGCAGCCCAGATGTTCTCTCCAAGGCCTAGCTAGACTTACTTGACCAAACCGGCTGTCTTGCCCTGGGACACGGCCTTTTCATACTGCTTCTTGGCGACTTCTTTCTCTTTGACAGTCCCAGGGTAGGTAACACCATCAATGGTCCTGTAAGGAAAGAGAATTGTGGGATCACGCAGGGCCAGGCCTCCCTCCCCAAGCCCACAGCCAGCAGCCATGGTGACTCTCACAAGGTGAAGTTGGTGATGAAGGCTGTCTTGGGCAGCTCCACGTCAAAGGAAACCTCCTTGGCCTTTTCTGCACGGTTGACGGCCCTTGTGGTGACGACATTGTGAGCAAAGCGAGAGGTCACCTTGCAGCTGATCTTGGTGCTGTAGACCTCAGTGCTGTCGACCACCTTCGGGAGAGGTGGGTGGTGAGCAGCAGGTGGTCACCATGGAACCAGACCTTCAACCTGGCCGCTCCCCTCCCAAACTGCCCTGTACAGATTCCGAAGTCCCTCCATTGTCCCAGTTGCCCAAATCAGAAGCCTGGGTGGTGTCCTCAGCCCCACAGTCAACAGGCCGCCCTTGTCCTGATGATTCTTCTGCTCCTTCACTCTGTAACCTGCTTTCACGCAGCTGCAGCCAGCGAGAGCTTCTAAAAACCCCAGTTGGACCCTGTTCCTCTCCTGCTTACAGCTCTCCTGGGGCTCCCCATCAACCTCAGGACAGAGTTCCCACTCTTTGCCACGCTCCAAGGTTCTCGGGTGAGTCCTGCCTCCCTAGCTCATACCACGCTCCAGCCACGCCCAACCCCTTGTAACTGCTTCCAGGTTTTTGCAGCTGGAGCACCTGCCTGGCTCCGCGGCTCATCTTTCATCTTTCATGCCTCGGCTTCGGCTTCGGCTTCGGCTTCGGCTTCGGCTTCGAAATCGTATTCCCGGACTCCACCCTCCCTCCACTCCCATATCCTGTGTCATTTGGTAATTGCCCGATCCTGTCACCCAAACAGGCCCTTATCTCCTGTAGTGAATGAGTGCCTTAAGGACAGCCTTTGTGCCCCCAGAGACCCTCCTTCCAACAGGGCAGTGGATCAAGGGAGGCTCTGGGGAGACGTCTGGGTTAAACATGGGTATAAGGATGCTCTGTGAGGGTGTGACGGGACCACTTCACTGTATGTCCCCAGGCCCAACTATAGGCCCAGGTGCCAGCAAGTGCTGCGTAAATGGAAGGAAGAGATAACTGGTGGAAGGGCTGCCCCATGCTGCCTCCCATGAGGTCCCAGGGGGCATAGTTCTGTGGCATCTTTTCCTGGGCGTCTCACATCTCCTGAAGTCTGCCAGGGTAGGGTGCTGTGAGCTGTCTGCCAGCTTCGAGGGACTCGCTGATGTGTCCCTCACCTTCAGCTGTTGGGCAACCAGCTCCGTTTTGCCCCGCCCCACCCTGTCCTTTCCCTGGTGAAAGTTCTCACCCCTTCTGGGAGGCTCCGTTTCTGCAAAAACAGACAAACAAACACAGGGCTCAGGATGAGGCCAAGGCCACCGTAGCCTGGAAGCCATTCTGGGCCCGGACCAGGACTCATCACTGCCCCTCCCTCCACACACGTCCACGCTGGTGGGCCTTCAGACACAGCACTCTCCCAGATCCACATGTCTGAGCAGGGAGGGCTCTGGGTAGATGGGGAAACTGAGGCCCAGAGAGGGACAGGGCCTCAGGTTACCCAGAGGAGCAGGGCAAAAAGAGCTGGATCCTAGAGTTTCCCCGGTCCCACAGACCCCAACTCATTCTGCCTTTCATTCTTGCCTTCGCCTGGACTCCAGGAACCTAAGGCCTCCTTCCAGGACCACCCCTACCCCACTGCACCCCACGGGGCTCAACTCAGCCTTTCGTAGAGGCTTTTGCACTTGTCTACGACTTGAACCTTCACAGCCCCTCCGTGAGGTGAGAGTTCGTGGTGCATTGCCCCATTGGGAAGTTGGGGAAACTGAAGCCCAGGGGGTTAGGTTTTTTTTCCCCCTAGGTTCATGCTATTTTTATTCTTCACGTTCAGTCTTTTTTTTTTTTTTTTTCAATTTGTGGTAAATGTATTGGCAGCAAAGCATTTGCCATTTCAACAATCTTTATGTGAACAATTCAGTGACATTGATTACGTTCATCATGGTGTTCAACCATCACCCCTAACTATTCCCAGATTAAAAGCTATGGATCGTTTGATGAATTTGGGCGTCATCCTTCCGCAGGGCCCTGCTAACCTTCTCCGTATTGTTCCAGTTTTAGCACATGTGCTCCCAAAGCGAGCACTCGAGAGTTTTAAGAGCCATGCCCAGGCTTAAATGACAGGTCAGCATAACCTGTCCTCCCAACGCCCAGCACTGTCCCCTGCTGCTGAACACCCAGCCCTCTGCCCCCTCCTCACCCCACTTAGTGGACTTCCCTGCATGTTGCTTTCTGCCCATTTGACACCCCAGGCCCAGATTCTGGAGAGTGGGCAGACTCACCCTGAGCGGCCGGAAGGGGCTTCTTGGGAAGCCGGAGGCTGCCAGGCCAGAGAGCAGGACCAGGACGAGGCAGGACCACAGAGCGGGCGTCATCGCTGACCACGCAGCCCGGCCCTGAGCTGCTTATATATGAGAGAGACTGGTGTTTCCTAAGCAGGGTCAGTGACCTGCAGCCCGGGCGGGAGGCTCCTATGGGAAGCTGGGGCGTGGGAAGAATAATGGCCGATGCCCTGTGACCTGGATCTGCCTGTACCACGGGGACCCTGAGGGTATCGTCAACAGTGTTGGGACTTCACTCCTGATGGGCTGGAGGACACGGAGTCCCCTGGGAAAGCAGAAGCTGTGCGTGGGCAAATGGGCCTGGGTTCTCTCTGGGTGGGGGTGAAGGTGACAGGACGGAGTTGCATTTAGAGCAAACAGCTCTGGGCATCACTGCCTCTTACCACACCACTGACTCGGCCTTGGTCTGGCCTCTTGGGTCAGCCCTTCTCGTCTCAAGTCAGCCTGGCACAAAACTAGACTCATCACCTAAGGCACGGCTTTTCCCACCGAGACCCTGGCTCACTACCCTTCTACGGCTCCCTGACTGCAGGAAAAGGACAAACCACAAGTCTGATGGTCCAGCTCGCTCTGCGATCTGGCTCCAACTTGCTTTTCTGAACCTACTCTCCTCCCACTGGCATGCCTTCCCCTTCTCTGCACAACCAGCCTCAACGCGCCTCCTCTGGAAGCCGTCCTCCCTCATCCCCTAGCCAACCACAGGGCAGCCCCACTCTGCTCCAATGCCCCTGAGGACCTGCTCTGTCCTTACTTATGTTGAGGTTTGTGTGTTCGGGTCTGATTGTCCCCTCCAGGCCCCAAGCTACTGGAAGGCCAGGCCATGTCACACTCACCCTGTGCTTCTGGGGCCTAGCTAGGGACTTGACTGTCATTATTACTCAGGGATCATTCCCCTAAAAGTCTCCAGTGAGGCTGGGGCTCCAGACACCAGTATAATGGTGCTTCAGGGGCAGGGCCTGATCCCCTCCCAATGGTTTGGGACGTCCTGGGTCACACCAGGGCCCTGCCAGCCCCCTGCCCCTTCAGGGGGTCTACCGCGTGCCTGCCATACCCAAGGCTCCTCTGTGCAAAGCTGACCCCGTGAGTATCCCTCTCTGCCACTACTGAGTGGAGTAGATGAGGACACCTGGGCACAGGACAGTTCATTTGCGGAGTGTGCCACGGCCTTGGCTGAAAGTTCTGGGCCTCTGACTGTGAGGTGCACAGGGAGAGCTGGCTTCTGGCAGAGGAGAAACAGAGCCAGAGAGAAGGCAGAAAGCAGACATCGTGAGGCAGTAGAAGCAGCACAGTAGAGCAAGGAGGGTGTAGGCTAGTTACCGAAAGTGGCAGAAGCCACAAAAGCAATGACAGGAAGTTGCCAAGTCAACAAAATGATGGCGGATTGACAAGATGCAGCTGGTGAGCGGCGCAGGGCTTTGTGCTTGAGGCCCAGCTGAGTGGTGCCTGTTTTCCTAAGCCCTCCTGAATCCTTACCCAACCTCCACTGCCAGTGGGTACCAAGCTCAGGGCTGACCAAGACCAAACCCAGCAGGTTGTGGCCCCAGCTCTGCAGCCTGGCCTTCGTGCTTCCTGGCTCCTGAGAAGTCTGGTTCATCATGTGTCATTGCCTGACCCAGGTCGTTCCACTGGCTCCTCCTCATGGCCCTGCAGCTGCCTGCAGAACTTCTCCAGCCCCTTCCCCCTAGGCACCCCTTCGTCCCCGGTGTTTGAGGCTCTAGGGGAAGCACAACTTGAAATCAGGATCCCAAGGCTGCTGACAAGGCCCCTGAGAGATGGCTGGGACGTGGAGGGAACCAGAGGCATCATGCGGAACGTAGAATTGGATGGAATCTAAAGAGATCTTCAGGTTCATCCCTACTTCCATCCTGCAGGAAGGGAAATGAGGCCCCAGTTGTGCAGGGCATTTTGCCCAGGGTGACTCAGCCCGCCTGCAGCACAACCTCGAGAAGCCCAGGATATCCCGGGAGTGGGTTTGCCTCTGAAACTCTACTGTCTGCCCCACAGACTGCCCCTGAGGGGCTCTGTGTTCCCCAGCCTGGGGCGGCCTTTAAGTTCAGCACTTGTGTTACTGATCTGGGTGCTCAGGGCGAGTCCTTGTTGTATCTGGGCCCTCGCAGACCTGGTTTGCAGTGGGAGCTGGACAGAAGCCAGCAGAGAAAAGGCAGAAGCCCTTTGGAAAGGAATGGTGGAGGCTCCGTCCACCCTCACCTGAAGGGCCAGTGGCTCTCCAAAGTGTGCATTTGTCCCCTGCACTTGTGATGCTGTATTTTAACCGTGACAGCAGGGAAGGAGCCCTGATGGTGTAATGTCAGGCATTCGTGTGAGGAGACAGGAGTGCTGCTCCCGGCCCCCTGAAATCACTGCTCCTGGGCTGCGGCTATCCCTGCCTTTGGGAAATACCAGCCCTGCCCTCAGTGGAGCCCTGGTGGTGTAGTGGTTAAGAACTCGGCTGTTAACCAAGTTTAGTCAGCAGTTCAAATCCACCAGCTGCTCCTTGGAAACCCTCTGGGGCAGTTCTACTCTGTCCTGTAGGGTCACTATCTGAACTGACTCAACAGCCCCTGACAACAACGGCCCTGCCATCAGAGTCTGCAAAGCCCTAGCAAGGAAATCAGGCTGAGGGTGGAGGCTGGGAACCGCTTCCTGAGGACTTGAGCCAAGTGCGTGCAGCCCCTGGTCCTGGTAGGACTTCAGAACTCCAAGTCCATGTATAAACATTTCTTTCTTATATTCATTTTAGGAGATGTTTTGGAATATCCAGAACCAAGTCCAGGCTTTGCACATCAGCTTCCCATCTTGACTGGAGTGTTCATATGAGGGTGGGTAAGCATACAGACGCTGACACCAGGCAGCATGGGTTCAAATCCCAGCTCTGTCACTTACAGGCTGAGTGATTTTGGATAAATTACCTAACCTCTCTGTGCCTCAATTTTCTCAGCTGTAAATGGGCATGATAAAAGCGTTCGTTAGGGCCATTGTGAGCATAAATGTAGTTAATTCCAGTAAGGTCCTTAGAACTCTGCCCGGCTCTAGGAAGCCCTGGGTTAGCCGTGACTGTTGGTGGCTGGTCATTCCTGCCATACTGCCAGAAGTGTCCACTGGTCCCCGGATGGGGGGAGGGGGTTGTGTGCAGGGGCACTCAGGGCACTCAGAGGGCTTGGGGCCAGAGAGCAGGCTGAGAGTGGGATGCGGCAGAGTTGGCATGGGCTCCCTCTGGACCTCCGTCCTGCTCTCCCTCATCCTGAGCCTGCTGCAATCAGGGCTCTAGACCCAGTGCCCTGAGCCCTTTTGAGGGGCAGCCTCTTGGGCTGCCTCTTTGCTATCTCCACCACCCCCCAAAAAAAGCAGCCAGCTTTGGCTGAAAGTACCGATTGCTGTCGAGGCGATTCCAACTCATGGTGACCCTGTGTGTGTCAGAGTAGAACTGTGCCCCATAGGGTTTTCAATGGCTGAGTTTTGGGAAGTAGATCACCAGACCTTTCTACCAAGGTGCCTCTGGGTAGAATCAAACCTCCAACCTTTTGGTTAGCAGCCAAGCATATTAGCCATTTGCACCACCCAAGGACTCTGTGGCTGAACATAGCTTCTCTTTAATGGAAATCCTGGGGTGCTTTGGCTCAAGGCACCAGCTCGGAAAGGGAGGTGTGGCCCGGGAAGCAAGTCAGGATGCTGTCCTCCTCCTCTGTCAAGGTCCCAGGGAGGACAGGGGTGCTGGGTGTGGGGCTCAGAAGATGTCAGGGACGATATAGTCTGTGTGGATGCCGTCAATCAGCCCAGCACCATTGTTGTGGAAGAACCAGCAGGTCACCTCAGCCCCATGCTGGGGGTCCTTGCTGTAGTCTCTTTGCAAGCCCCTGGGGAAAGACAAGTCAGCTGTACCTCCCTTAGGCCTGACTGCGCTGCATCTCCTCCAGGAAGCCTCCCCTCCACCCACGTGGTATTCAGAAGGCTCCGACCATCTATGCCGGAGAGCAGCCAGCCTACCTGGTCACTGTCAGCCTGTGGTTCTTCACCACCATTGTGGCGTCTGGCCTTGTTGGGTCGGAGCCTGGGTGGATATCAGACACTTCAATATCAAAGGGGTGGAAGAATTGTCCTGGAAAGGCACATTGGAGGCAGCGGTTACCATCTGGGGGCCTTGCTTCTGCTTTGCACATAGTAGGTGCTCACTGGAAGTTTAGAGAGTTGCTTAAACACTTTTTCAAGGGCTTGAATGTTCCCGATAAACTTTGGTATCAAAAGCCACCTTTAGTCCCTCAACAGATGAATGCATGAACACAATGGGGTACACACACACAATGGAATACGACTCAGCCATAAAGAGAAATGAAGTCCTGACGCGTGCCACTACCTGGATGAACCTTGAAAACATCTCGCTGAGTAAAATAAGTCCGTTGCAAAAGGACAAATATTGTAGGCTCTCACTAATATGAAAGAAGCAAATATATAGAAAGCAAAGATTATTAGTGGTTACCGGGGATGGGAGGGAGAGAGGAAAACAGGAGTTTTTGCTTTGGGGTCATTGAGCTTATGTCAGTGGTGGTGGAATGATTTGGAAAAGGATAGCGAGAATGGTTGTACAACTTGAAGAATATAATCAATGTTACTGAACTGTACACGCGGAAAGGGTTGAGATAGCATATGTTTTGTTATGTGTATTTTCACCACAATACAATTTAAAGAAAGAAAAGGGAAAAACAGCCCCCTTTAGTTCATCCACTACAGAAAAGCACTTATACTTTCAGTGGTCCCACTCCTGTCATTTTTACACGAATCCAAAGGAATCTGGGTAGGGAGGGAGGTTGGAGGATGAGGCACTTGCAGAAAACAGGGTCTGCAGGAAGGGCACGCAGGAGATACGGCCGATGACCCGCCACCCACAGGTCCGTGGACCTTTCTGTTTGCTAATCGGACTTGTCCCCACTTGCGCCTATGCTCACTTAAGCTTCTATCTCATTGTATGTTCGACTGCGGCCTTTTTGAGGGACACCACTCTCACCAGGAAAACATGTCTCTGGCAGCTCTGGGCCCTG